AATCTGTGCCATCTTCCTAGGTTTGTAGAGGCCAGGAAAGGTTATGACACATGTGTGTTTTGTAGGGCTCAAATTGTTGGTTTACTGGGATTATTTTTTCTAGAACCACAGAAAGTGGCAGGGTCTTGAGACCTGGCCCCTCCTTAGAAAGATCAGCTTATTGTCTCCAACTTGGGGGGCTGTGACCCCAGTCCTCATACCCAGCCTCGCGCTGGGAAAAGGGCCTCAGGAATGAGATATGCACTGCCAAGAGATGCCTGATTTACACTGGGGATGTCCTGTGTGCTTATATTTCCTCTCCCCAGACTTCATCCCCCAGCTCCGAGGTGGGCAGGGTCTAACCCTCCCATGACATGGGCATTGGGAGAGATAGTTGCTACTCCAAGGATTCTCAACCCTTCTTCCCCAGTTCTCTGCTAGGTGCCTGGGTGAGGAGGGAGTTCCAGGATCTCTGCTTTGCCATGTTGTGCCTTCATAGGTAGCTCTAGCTCTAGTGGCAGGCTAGCAAGGGTTAAAGGTGTGGGCCGGCGTTCTGGCCAGGTAGGCTGGGCCATTACCTAGTGGGAGGTGGCCTAGGTATCTGCCACTGCTGCCTACTGCCACTACCAGCCGGAGCCAGGGCCTGATCGAGACAGCTATTTCTTGAGCGACCTTAGGCCACCCCACAGCACTCCCTGGCATTGGTGAGCAGTTGGGAGCAGCAGCCCTGGGTGGGAAGGGATGGACCCTGGGAAGGAAAGGGACGAGGGCTGGGGTGCTGGGGGTTGTATTGAAGTTCTCTTAAGGAGAGAGGTTTATGGGAGAGGTACGCCAACAATGTGGGGCGGGGCAGGGGGTATATAAAGGGAGGAGGACCCGAGTAGAGGGGCACAGCCCAGATGTCCAATTTTCTCTCCTGGCATGAAGCTGATTCCAGGCCGGAAACAGACAAATAGACTAGGAGCGATAGGGCAAAGAGAGCTTGAGCCCCCTTTTCCATGGCACCCCCACCCCTCCCACTGCCAGTAGTTTCTGCTCTCTCCAAACCCAGGGCCAAACCTTCTGTTAAGGGCCAGGCTGGGCTGTGCATGCATTGCCCAGGCACCTGCCTGTTGACCCTGTTTGTTCACCCCGAATCAAGGCAGTGGGGGGCTCCAGGGGAGGGGAACAGTCCAGACTTTGGGACTTTGTATTTGCTCTAGTGACGGCAGGAGCCGGAAATGGGGGTCCCACTGACAGTGTTGGGGTGCCACCCAGGTAAGGTGTCTTGGTTGTAAACAGTCATTACAGCCAGGAATTTCTTTCTCAGCTGTGGTGTCAGAAGGGCAGACCTGAAAAACCTGCTGGGCCCGCCTCTGGGTGTGGGGGTGCCCTCCGCAGCTCTCCCACTTCAGCTCATCCCTGGACAGGATGGGCCTTAGGGTCACCAGAGGGGAGAGCTAGAGACTAAGGAAGGGGTTGCTGGAAACCCCTTCTGACCATCTCTCCTGGTGCTGGGGCAGCCCAGCCCCCAAAGCCAAGTATGCCGAGGGCAGGTGAGTGCAGGCAGAAGTTTGGGAACCAGGTGTGGGAGTGTGGGGCGTTGACCCTGTGTCTAGCCTGCCCAGTGACCCCGTGACTCATGCCCTAGCTATGTCCCTGAGGTCAGGCTAACAGGGTGGAGTCAGGGTTCCTGTCTGGACCCCATGTTGACTTCCAGGATGGTCTGAGCTCCCAGAGAAGGAAGGATTGAGGGAGCCCAGCATGGGATGTGAGACCAGTCCTGGCAAATGGGCCCATTCAGGGAGGAACTGGGTTTTTGTTGGAGTGCAGGGAAGTTTAGGGGAACCCTATGAGAGCTCCCCAAATACATATGGAGACCGAGTAAGTAGGAGTCCCAGAAGGCAGGTGGGGGAGGGGGAACAGAGGAGGCTGAGCTGGCATGTCAAGGAAACCTCTTCTTACTGGGAAACGTCAGACCTTACATGGGGGGCACACAAGTGCCTCTGATGAGTGCATACTGGTGCCTGGATTTGCAAGAAGGTTTTTGGGACTGCCCCCCTGCCGCTGATGTTGATGATAGGGCACTACTGCCTTCAGGGAGGAGTACAGACCCTATGGGGCACATAGGAGGACCACAGAGAAGTTGGTGGTACCTTAGAGGCAGCTTGGCTGCCCCCCACAATGTGTAGATGGGGAAGGGGCTTGAACCCACACCTCCTTGGTTGTGTGGGTCTTTCCATGCCTGGCTACCATATCATGATAAGCTGTGGATTTCAATGTAGGTGGGATGGGAACTCTGTGGCTCCATAAGGCCATCTTAGTCACCTGCCAACGAGGTTAGGCCAGGTGGCGGGAGGTGATGTCACCCGGCTGCCCAGCTGGGGGCTGAGCAGGATGTGGGAGGGAGAGAGCAAACTCTAGAGGGAAGGGTTGGAGGCCAGCCAAAGCAGGCTCCATGGTCAGCCAGGGCGTCTGGGGGCAGAGGAGGAGGCAGCAGACAGGTGATTTGTGCTTCTCCCAAATCCCAGCGGGGTGACTTCCCTTGCTAGTCTCAGGACAGGCTGGGGTGGGGAAAGGGGCTGGAGGCACCCAGGGTAAACACTCTTGCTGCACCAGGGCGGCTGGACAGAGTTGGGACAAGTATAGACCCACAGATATGGGCTTGCATCCTGGCTCTGGTATGTCATCACTCATTTACTCAATCTTTTATTCATTCAACTGACAGATAGTCATTGAGCACTTGTATGTGCAAGGAGATACTGATGAAAACAGGACAGATATGATTCCTGTTCTCATGGATGTACAGGGGAGTTGCAGTCTCTTGTTAGATAGCAGTTGTGAGAGGACATAATGCAGGGGCCCATCTCTGGGAGTGACATTTAAGCCTCAGAACGATAACTGAGAAGAACCGACTGCGGTAGTATGAGGTTGAAGAGCACGTCAGACAGCAGCCACAGCCTGGGCAAAGGTCCTGAGGCCTGATGGGCTGGGGAGTTAATGAGGAAGTTGGAGCAGCTCTAGTGAGGGAGAATGTAGGGCCAGAGGTGGACTTGGGCTGTGTCCCTGGCTATAGGCAAGTCATTTTACCTCTCTGTGCCTTTCTTTCCTCATCTCCAAAATGGAGATCATAAGGCCAGTCATATAGGACATCTGTTCAGTGCTGTGCAAAAGAAGCTGATCCAGGGACCAGCAGTTGGTGTAATAGCTATGTCACTGAACTCCTATGTAGTCGACCACGATTCAAGTTCCAGACCCAGTGGCTTAAACTCACACCAGGTACATGTGTGTGCCCAAGATCCCGAGAGGAGAATGGAGGAGAAGGGATTGCAGCGTGGCCATCCCCCCTGGGGGGTGATTTCTCACTTTCTGTCTCTCTGTCTTTCTGGTGAGTGCCCTGTAGCAAAAACCTCTCAAAACAAACAAACTGATTCCACATGGCTGACTGGGGTTCAAGTTTTGGCCCCTGTGGCTTATATGCCAGGCATAAATGTCCATGCCCAATATCCTGATGAGATAGAGAATTGGAGGAAAAAATTATTTGCAGTATGACCAGGCCCTGTTGGAGGTCTCTCTTTCTTTTGCTCTCTCTGTCTTTCTACTGCACACACACTCTGGAATAATATAAATAAATAAAATGGGGATAATAGGTTCTGACTGGTGGTGTAGGCAGTAGCAAAATGGACTACAGTGCTGGAAGCCACATGGCCAACTGTGGGTTTGAATCCCTGGATCAGCATGAAAACATGCTGGGTGCACATGTGGCACCCAAGATCCTGATGAGCTGGAGTGCTGGGGCAAGGGGATGGCAGCATAAGACCCTGTCAAAGTTCTCTTTCTCTTGTGCACACATGCATTATCATGAATAAAATTAATAAACTTGAGACCAGCAGATGGTGTGATGGTTATGTCGCTGGATTCCTATGTAGTTAACTGCAGTTTAAGTCCCAGACCTGGTGACTTAAAACTCACACCAGGAGTGTGTACGTACATGCCCAAAATCCCAAAGGGAAACTGGAGAAGGTATTGTGGCATGGCCATCCCCCCTGGTGGGGTGATTTCTCGCTTTCTGTCTCTCTCTCTGTCTCTCTGGCGAGCGCATGTTCTCTATAACAAAAATCTCTCAAAAAATTAATAAACTTATAGGAGCCAGCAGGTGGAGTAATGGTTAAGGTGCTAGACAGTCCCACATGGCTGACCATGGTTCGAGTCTTGGAACTGATGACTTGCTTTCTCACTTTCCCTTTCTGTCTTTCTGTGGTCAAATTAAAATAAAAGAATGAATAAATAAATAACTATTTTTTTTAAAAAGGAAGACCAGCAGATGTCATAATGGTTATGTTGCTGGATTTCTGCATAGTCAACTGTGGTCCAAGTCCTGGAACCAGCGACTTAAAACTCATGCCAGGCTTGGGACCAGCAATTGGTGTAATGGCTATGTCACTGGATTCCTATGTAGTCAACCGTGGTTCGAGTCTCAGACCCAGTGTCTTAAACTCATGCTGGGCACATGTGCATGCATGCCCAAGATCCTGAGAAGAGAATAGAGGAAAAGTGATTGCAGTGTGGCCATCCCCCCCGGGGAGTGATTTCTTGATTTCTGTCTGTCTTTCTGGCGAGCGCACATGCCCTATAGCAAAAACCTCTCAAAAAAACAAACAAACAACAACAACAACAACAACAAACTCATGCTGGGCTCATGTGTGTGCGTGCACAAGATCCTGAGAAGCGAATGGAAGAGGAGGGATTGTGGCATGGCTATCCCACCTGGGGAGGTGATTTCTCACTTTCTGTTTCTCTGTCTCTTTGGTAAGTACACACACCCTATAGCAAAAATGTCTCTTAAAGCAAATAAAATAAGGGTAATAATCTCAGACTGCCAGTACCAGGTGGTTGTGAAGATGAAATGTGGCATGTTAGGTAACTATTCCAGGCACCCAGGTGTTTAATAAGTACCCACTGTTGTTATAGTTGGTTGAATCTGTACCATTAATTTTCCCTCCTCAGGCAAGACTCCAGGTCGTGGCCCATGGGCCTCTGAGGAGGCGTTGTAAGTCCACCCAGCTCCCCACTTGCTGTGCTCCCACTCAATGGGAAGAGAACCAAGGTACCAGGGCCATATGGGTCCAGAGAAACTGGTGGCACGTTATGGGCAGCTTGGCCGCACCCCCCAGAATTGATACAGATTCTGAGCAGGCAGGCCAAGCAGGTGGGTGGGGGCCAGGGTACCCCTTGCTCCCAGCTAAGGGGTGGGAAGCTGGGTAGGGGTGGGAGTTCGGGTATCACAGGATGTACTTCCCTAATGACTCCTGTGCGTCACTGCCAGGTCTTGTCCAGCCATCTGCCACAGCCTCTCAAAAGTGCTAGGATGGAAGTCAAAGGTCAGCTGATCAGCTCTCCCACCTTCAATGCCTCAGGTCGGTGCCTGGCTCCCCCTCCTTGCTGCCTCCTTCCCTGCTCTGAGTCACCACCTGCCTGCTTCGGAAGGGTTGGCCCTTAGCTCCTCAGCCACTCCAGAATGCTCTAGCTTTCCCACTGACCTTTGCTTTCTCTGTGTCCAGCTGCCCTGTTCGGAGAGGCTGTTCCCCAGGTGAAGTCAGAGCGTCTGCGGGGCCTGCTTGACCGGCAGAGGGCCCTGCAGGAGGCCCTGAGCCTGAAACTTCAGGAGCTCCGCAAAGTGTGTCTTCAGGAGGCGGTGAGGTCCTGGCCCTGGGGGTGTCAGGTGGGAGGGTGAGGAGCTACCCCTAGGT